GTCCCAAAATATTGCGTTCGCGGCTGTGGACTCTGTCCTCGCGGTTGGAAGGTTGTCTATCACGTCCGGAAGGCCCTCATGGGAGGTTATTCAACCGACCATACTCGACTGTCAGCGACTACTCGTGCTAATCGAACCTCAAGGGGAGAAGCAACCCGGCTCTCCAGTTGTTCAAAGTGTCGATAATGCATTCGTCAAACTGTCGAATCTGTTCTGGTCCAGATATGTCAAGGAGAAAGAGTCTGGTCAAGGGTATCGTGATCTCTTACCCATCTTGAAGCAATCCGCGACCTTACTGTCAAATTGCTCGCCTTCGCAACGTGTTGCAGGGTTCGCACCCCTCAAGTATGAGCGACTAGCACACACATATATGGAAGGGGGATATGCTCGTGAATCAGAACAGGCGTTCCATAAGTCGATCTTTGAACACATACATACTGGTACGCTCGACCAAGTAATCTCATCTACAGTTGGGTGCTTTCCGCACAGAATGTGCCAAGATCCTAAAAGCAATGGATTCATGCTTGGGCGCGTTCTGTATGCCCTCCTGAAATTGAACCTCAGATCCAAGAAGTCAAAAACGCACGGTTTCTTCGATGACGACAGCCTGGACCTGAGCCAAAGATGCCATTTAATGGAGTGGCAACTGGGAGTGTTGGCTGAATTTCCCGCCAATGCTTGCTCCGATGAGGGCTTCCGATCTACTTTTACCTTGCTTATCACACAAATCTTCAACTTGTACTCTTTTGATACCCAAACCATTCGTCTTCTGCGCGTTGTTCTTACTATTCTGCGTTTCTCTTTGGAACATCCGGGTTTGATGGACTCAAAGTTGCTATCAAGTGTCATTGACGTCGGCCGCCAATGCATTGACCAGGAGGACGTCGGCGAGGACTCCGACCTTGGTTCTCTATGGTTACACCTCAAAAACTCGGTTCAACTTACACTCGGCCTCCATGAGGGTGATCTGTCACCTTCCACCCTAGAGACAGTCCTTTTGTCTTGGAGTGCAATGCTGCGAGACTGCGGCGATTTGGAGTCTCTTCTTCTGAAAATCGGCGACCTCGACCACTATTTACTTCAGATGAGGGCGATAGTTGACTACACCGAGATACACGGGCTCTGGAAGCTGCAACTCTCTGCACTTGAATTGGTGCTGAAGACCACGGAGCTTCAAGAATCGGGTGACTTTTCCGAAGCAATTATAGTTTTGTCACGGCTTGTTCTTCAATACAGTCGACTTGGCTTCTGCACAAAAGCCAGTGCTCTCTTGAAGCAGGCGGAGCAGTATCTCACTCACTCGAATACCACCTGCTTAGCAATCTTGTCGTACCGAATAGCACACGTCGGCTATCTCCTTGAGACTGGGGATATTAGTCAAGCGGCGACCGTGCTCGCTAAAGCCAGAGCTTTGTACGAGAAATACCAGAAGAAGGAAGATCTGAACAGCTGCTCCACCTTGTCCAAGATTCTATGGGAGAGGCTTGTTGCTGACGCAGCCTTCATGAGCTCTCGGCTGTCGTTCGCTCAAGGATCGGTCAATGATGCTCTCTTCTTTGCCAAGCTTTCTGTCCGGTTGAATTGCAGAATTTGGGCCAAGATCGAGAAACTTTCTCAGAAGAAACAAGACAAGATGATTCAGGCTAACGATAATTCTGAACTTGAGACTGTGGTGGAAGGAATGGCAAAGCTCGAGGTTGCGCAAGCAGCTCCTGTGCCAAATCCTGTCTATTCCCAGGGTGCCCCCTTCTGGCCTCATATTGGCTCTCATCATACCGCTCTGCTGAATTTGGCGAGTCTCTCGGCGCACCACGGTCTATTCCAGGATGCTATATACTACGGGGAACAAGCTCTCAAGATCAACAAATCTCTGAATGCGAATGTCCGTCTCATAGCGTCTCAGGCACAGCTTGGGTCCCACTGGATCTTCGGTGGTCATCTCTCTGAGGGGCAGGAACTGCTCGAGGCGGCGGAGTCTCTTTCCAAGCAACTCGAAAGTAGTGTCGAACTCGTCTCGCTTCAGGTTGGCCTTGCTTCTCTTTACAGGGCACAAGGCCGTTTTCTTGAAGAGCAGCGTGCTCTTCTCGAGGCTGACCGTTTGATGACTCAAGTGGCTGGTCCTGATGGATTGGATGCCTCCGCAACAATCCCGAATCTTGAAGACCAGATGAAGAAGTTGCAACTCCAGGGAACGGCCAGGAAAACACGTCAACGTGCCGCCACAACCACAACAACAACACGCAGGACTCGGGCAGCGACAGTGTCCGCTTCGAATGCATCCAAGGCTACAGAGACACCAGCCACACCAAGCCATTCCGAGTCCGAGTCTACTTCCCTTTCGCATTTGAGAAGCGAGATTCTCCGCCAGCAAGCTGCCTGTTTACGCACACTTCGTGACTTCGAGAAAGCATCAGTGACCCTCTACAATGCGCGGAAATTTGCGACGTCTCGGGACAGCCAGATATCTCTGCAGATTGGCGAAAGTGAGCATCTGCTTGCGGATGCCATTCGGCATTTTGCCACACATGCAGTCTACTGTGTTCTCCCTGAATCGACCATCTCCCTGCCATCGCTCCAGTCACCAAGCAAAGTCCCCAGCAAGTCCAGCACTGGTAAGCCAGCATCCACACGGAAAACAAGAGCTCCAGCTCGTGCACCAGCAAGAAGCACGAGGGCTAAATCCGCCAAGCCGACTGAGGACTTCTCCGTAATGTTGTCCAAAGCCGGGGAGAGCCTAAATGCAATCTTTCCCACCGCCACAACATTGGGGTCTACTCTTGACAGTCACGCAGCTTCTCGCCTGATGAGCCGTATCTCCATGCTCGCTCATGTTACTGTACCCGAGAGCTCGGGATTATTGTCTCAGTCTCCAGCAAACATGAACGAAATAGGCCGGATCGGTGCCTTTACGCGTGAACGAGCTGCCATCAGTCTTGACAAGCAGTTAGCAAACTACTGCGATCCTCTCCTTTGGCCAAGCGCTGAAGCAAAGGCCAAGTTTGAAGAGGATCTCTACTCGCGTTTCACCGAGGACTATATCGAGATCCTTCCACAGAATTGGAACGTTCTTTCTCTGTCCCTTAGCGCTGATAGTACTGAGTTTGTTGTTTCAAGGCTGCACAAGGGTCTGTCACCCTTCTTGTTACGACTACCACTCAAGCGTGGTTCCGAGGACGATGAGGAGGATCAGTTCACCTTCGAAGATGGGAAGGAAGAAATGAAGGAGCTCATCAAGCTGACGAACCAAAGTGCGCATGCAGCTAAGCACCAGAACGACCGGCAATCGAAGAAGGAATGGTGGAAGAACCGTGAAGCCCTGGACCGGCGCATGGAAAACTTGCTACAAAACATCGAGAACGTGTGGTTTGGTGGTTTCCGAGGAATCTTCTCTCCAATGCCTCATGAAACCGAATCTTTGGAGAGATTTGCGGCTCTTTTTCAGAATGTCCTGGACAAACACCTACCTTCCCGACAGAAAGGTAGACGCGCCGAAGGCCCACACTTGACACTACACCCGAATGTTCTGGAATTATTCCTGGGTGTCAAGGATCTAGAGAGTCAGGAAGATCCCGAGGAAACCTTGATGGATCTCCTCTACTTTGTCGTGGATATCCTGCAGTTCCAAGGGGAGCGCAATGCGTACGACGAGATTGACTTCGATATGATGGTCGTGGAAACTCTGGATGCTCTCAGAGGGCATCACGATGCCGTGCGTAACGATCATAAGAAGCGGACACCGAATAGCACAGTGCTGGTCCTCGATAAGTCGCTGCATATGTTCCCTTGGGAGTCTCTTCCATGTCTTCAGGGTCTTCCTGTGTGCCGTGTGCCATCCTTGGAATGCCTTCGGGATCGGATCCTGCAGTTCCAGACTGACCACGCGGGTCGCCAACATGATTTCGGCATCGATAGCAGGAACGGGACGTATATCCTGAACCCCACTGGTGATCTGCAGACAACCCAGGGAACCTTTGAGAAGGAGCTCCTAGGGCTAGAACATTGGAAGGGGATATCCCAGCGGGAGCCGACCGAAGAGGAATTCAGGCATGGCTTGGAGACCAAGAGTCTATTCCTCTACTTCGGGCACGGTAGTGGTGCGCAGTACATCCGAGGCCGAACCATCAAGCGGCTGGAAAGATGCGCCATCACTTTCCTGATGGGTTGCAGCAGTGGAGCTCTGACGGAAGCGGGGGAGTACGAGCCATACGGGACGCCGATGAATTACCTGCACGCGGGGAGTCCGGCTCTGGTGGCTACCTTGTGGGATGTGACGGACAAGGATATTGATCGTTTCGCAAAGAGTACATTTGACAAGTGGGGCCTCTTTGGTGGCGAGGAGGAGGCGGTGGCCTTGGACGAAGCTGTCTGCCAGTCGCGACAAGCTTGCGTTCTGAAGTATTTGAATGGTGCTGCGCCTGTGATTTACGGCATTCCTTCGGTGTTTTTGGAGTGATCCGATGGGGCAATCGGTTGTAATAGATTGGTGTTGATGAATTTTCTTTGTCTTGATGGTGTCAATTAGCCTGTTACCGTTGTCACTGCTAGCGTTCTACATATGATATCATTCTAGTTCTGAGTTCTGAGCTTCTATCTAGTCCTACGATGAATAAGCCCTACGCCGGTACGGCAGTATTTTACCCCAATCACTGCCTTCAATCTGGCAGGAGGATGAAATAGTCCGCAGAACCTCTAGAACTTCCACAACCGAACGTACATTATAACGGCCAACAGAACCTCCCCAAGAAAGATAGACATCTATGCTATCTCCATGTCATGGCCACAAAGGGGAAAATTTCCCGAAGCTCCACCCACGCCCCTCATTTTCCCCTCATCCGCGGAAAACCAAACCCCTCATCGTCATTCCCTTCCCCCTCCCTCTCCCGTTCGTTCCTGATTTTTTTTAATAGCGTCGCGTCCCAACGGAGAGACTCCTTCCCTCTTCTTTCCCACCTCCCTTCCGAGAAGCAGCTCGCCCCAGACATCAGGAATTGAGACCAACCATGTCCGTCACCACCAAAGCCACCATCGCCTCCTTCGGCGGCAAGCTCCTCAAGCTCAGCCATGCCGCCACCTCCACCAAGTGCGAGATGTCCTTCAACCTCTACCTGCCGCCGCAGGCTTTTCAGAATAGCAACCAAAAGATCCCCGTGCTGCTGTACCTGTCCGGTCTGACCTGCACGGCGGACAACTGCTCCGAGAAGGGATTCTTCCAGCACGGCGCCAGCAAGAAGGGCATTGCCGTGCTGTATCCCGACACCAGCCCTCGTACGTTTTGCCCTGCCCTCCCCCTTGCACTTACCTGCAGCCCAGCCCAGCCCGGCAGAGCACCGGGCATCTGATCCCGTCCATCAGGACCTAAATGCTAACCTCCCGAGAAAAAGGCGGCCTCAACCTCGCCGGCGAAAACGACGCGTGGGACTTCGGCACGGGCGCCGGCTTCTACGTCGACGCCACCAAGGCCCCCTACGATGCCGGCTACAACATGTACACCTACATCACCGAGGAGCTGCCCGCCGTGGTGTTCCAGGCGTTCCCGGTGTTGGACGCGGAGCGCGTGAGCATCACCGGGCATAGTATGGGGGGCCATGGGGCTTTGACTTTGGTGTGTATACCCTTTTTTCTTTGTATCTGGGTGTAGATGGGAATAAGGCTTAACGCTAACATTCCATGTGACGCTAGTTCCTCCGCAACCCCGGTAAATACAGATCCGTGTCGGCGTTCGCGCCTATCTCCAACCCCATCAACTGCCCTTGGGGCCAGAAGGCGTTTGGGGGATACTTTGGCGAGGAGCTGCGCGACACCAAGTGGAAGGAGCATGATGCGACGGAGTTGGTGAGGAGGTGGAAGGGTGGGCCGTTGGATGTGTTGATTGACGTTGTATGTGCCTATCCCCTTTTGTAGCACCATTGTTTTGGGGGGGG